ACAAATTAATGGATAATGAAAATAATCAGTTACAGCCCTTTTATCTTTGTTACCAGGCAAAAAAGTCAAAAATTTAAAGTGCAGAAAAAAAGCCATTTTTCAAACACATATTTACTGATTCGTGTTTTATTGTTGTAATGTTTCAGTCTGTTTTTTTTTTTTTTTTTTTTTTTTTTTTTTTTGGTTAAATGAAATTTAATAAAAGTCAGAGGTGCAAACAAACCCAACAATCCACTTTTCCCCGCACGAGCGGCGGAGCTGGACTCACTTTGTTTTTTTCAGGTGAACTGCGACTTGTTTTCAGCCCTGCTCTGCGCTCTACTCCGCCACCTTCCCAATTACCAATCACTCCGCTGTATGTGGCCAGCTCCTCAAAAGGAAGTCACGTGACTGCTCTTTCTTCTTCTCTTGCCTTTTTTGATGTGCAGAAGAGAAGGGTGGGTTGGTGGAGGAGGAGGAGGAGGAGGAGGAGGAGGACGAGGAGGGGGGTGGGCGGGGGGATAGTGTGGCTGCAGGAGAGACAAAGCCTGATACTGGCTATCTGGAGGCAGAGATGGGTGGGGCCTGCATGCCAAACGGTGACACGGACCAGAGGTTAATCTCACTAGGGGCCCACTTTAACCTCGCTACACAAAACACACACACTCTCTCTCGTGCACTCGCGCACACATACACACTCGAAAACCTAAAAAACTTCTTACAACGGTTCACATGTAGACATCAGCAACCGGGTGGTTAAGAGTGGAAAGTAAGAACTGCGCACGCACACGCACACGCACACACACACACACACACACACACACATACACATACACTTAAAGGGGCTCCATAAATTGAACACACACTCTGGAGGTTTCAGGAGAATAACAGCAGCAGCAAACTGTTCAACATTTCAAACTGATTACCGACAAAGGGCAAGCAGCCCCCCACCTCACCGCCACACACCCCTTCACCCCACCCAACCCTCCTGCCTTTTTGTCTTTAAAGAAATTCCTCTTTTTAAAGAATGCCCGAGGAGAGAGCACCCCCACCCCCCGAACCCCTCCCACCCCCCACCCCACCCCCCCAAAGCCCATGTCCCAGCAGGAACTCACACACATGCACACTTACACACAGAAAAACACTCGGTGCAGGTAGAGAAGGGGTTGACAAACAAAGATAATGAAATGGCTTGTGTGGAGAATCGCTAAGCAGAGAGCTGTGGCGGGTGAAGAAGCTTAATTACTCCCTCTCACTCTTACACACACACTCTCTCTCTCTCTCTCTCTCACACACACACACACACACACACACACACACACACACACACACAGAAACACACCTTCCCAAAAGGAAGTGATCAGATAGGAGCCTTGATGAAGAGGCCTCCCAGGAAGAGAACTCGTGGTCGGGCGGGGACCCTCTCACTGACTCACACACACACACACACACACACTCTCCCTCCCTCTCTTACCTCCTGCTCTTCCACTCACTCGTCTTTTTCCAACCTCTCGCTCATGTTTTCCTCCTCAGCTACCACTAGCACACCCCCCACCTCTTGCCCTGCACCACCACCACCACCCCCTCACCCACACTTATTTTTCCCACATCCCTCCTCCTCCTCCTCCTCCTCCTCTCTCTCCCCCTCTTTCTCCTGTCCTCATGCTCCCTCTTCCCCTCCCCATCGTTCTTACCTCTCTCTCTCTCTCTCTCTCTCTCTCTCTCGTGCATATGGGGTCAGTGTTGTACAGGAATAAATCTGCAATCGTTCCACTGCTTCTTCTTATTCTTCTTCTTCTTCTTTTTAGCACTAACTGAATCCTAACCTTGTATCACAAATGCTGAAAATATTGCATGACCTTTGTGTCAAGCCAAACTCTCTTTCAACAGCTTGTATAATAGAAGCTTGGTAATGCAGGTCTGCCTGTTAGCATGCCACTGATTAGAAATGCTGCATTCACTGCAATTACCTGTATGTGCAGCTGTAACGATTAGTTGATTAACCGATTAGCTGATCAATGGAAGATTACACAGCAGCTACTCCTTTTAGCCATTTTTCAGTAGCTTGTTGCAGCTTCTCAAATGTGAGTTTGTCACATATGACAGTAAACTGAATATATATATGATGATTTCAAATCCAATATATATATATCCAATATATATCCAATATATATATATATATATTGGATTTGAAATCATTGGTCACATGAAATGAGCAATTTCAAGAGGTCTCTTTCAGCTATGGGAATTATGATTTTTTTTCACTATTTTCTGACATTTTATAGACAAAATGACAGATTGGTCAAGGAAAAAAAATACATCCGATTAATCGATAATGAAAACAAACATTAGTCCCAGCCCTACTAATATCCTAACAGAGATGTTCTTACTTTCACACTCTTTGCAAAACATACATCTCAGACCGTGAAGCCCAGTGTGTCCAAATCTCAAAATTTCATAAACATAAATATCATCAATATGTCCTCATCACTTCCAAGCTGCCAGCAGAAATAAAGAGAGGGAGGAAGAGTCAGACAAAAGGAGTGACTGGTGTAATGAGAGTGTATAGACGAATGCAAATGTTCACAAAAGGAACAGGGGGGGGGGCGGGGGTGTATTCAATATGGCAATGTGTTTAAGAATGCATATTGTCTGCTCTTTGTGCTGAACGACACTTGTATTATTGTAAACACATAGCTGCAAACGCTGAGGGGGGAAATGCACCAGCATAAACAGATGATTCATTGTATGCTAGACAATATTAGTTTTTTTTCAGAACTATTTGCATTTTTTTGGAAACGTTCAAAAATTCAACAAGCTGCACACAACCTCAGAAAGTCGTTGTCCAGAGCAGAAACTGACTCGTACTGACAGCTCGTAACTGACTGCAACCATTTTCATCTCTACACCTTTAGGAACAAAACACCTCGTCTGAGCCTGTCAAACCCCACTCCCACCCCAACATGCATTTGAAAAATATTCACATAAAAACAACCTACATGGCACCAGCCTGTCCTGCTCTATAGGCAACAAAATGCTGAGACAGACAGGTGTTTATTTGACTTCTGCTCAGCTCTTTAGGCTGTTTCCCAGACTAGACCTTCATTCCCTCTCACTGCCCTGAAAACATCTCCAGCCAGCCAGCAGGGAAATCAGGAGCCCGGAGTGTGTAGATAGATGCAGTTCATTCAGTCGATCGTGCCACAATATGAAAGTATCAATCAAAAACCGATCACACAACACTGCAACACACTGTGCGCTTCCCCCGAGCCTCTGCTTGGTTTGAGATATTCACAGCAGTGTGTGCACATCAAAAACTGTACGCACGCGCATATGAAGTCTGACAGAAAATTAAACAGGCATTATTAGATATACACATCATGATGCACATCCACGCCATCCATCAGAACTCACCCGCAATGTGAATGTTCTATCGCTGCAGAATTTCAATTATTTTACATCTGACAGCGAAAATCCAAGTTCATTTTTTTAAATCACCAGAATAACTGAATAATAACAAATAAATAACCTTTTGATTGTCAAGATTAATAGCACATTCATAATGAGGGAACTTATCAAATCACAGGTCAAGGAAAATTTAAAATGTTTTTTTTTTTTCAACTTTTTTAAAAACAAAATAAGATGCAACAAAAATCAGAGAGTAACAACATAACAGACTCAGTTTCATCACTGCAAACTGTCCCACTGGTGTAAAACACACAAAAAAGCTCAGTAGTCCACTTTCTATTTTAGAGTGTCATACAACTTAAAAAAATAAAAAAAATAAAAAACACAAAACATCAAAGTCATTTAAGTTTCAGGAGAGAGGGTTGGTAAGAAAATAAACTGATACCTATGTGAAGGCATAATTCTCAATACTCCACTAGTACTACATAGTTTGTCTGATAATGATCAGAGGACCCATCTTTCTTTTATTCACCACTACATCACTGCTGACATCTGACCTCTAATATGCCCCCACCCACCCCCTCCTCATACCCACCAGTTCAGCACAAGATCCTGGGAGTCCTCAATAAAGACACCTCCAGGAGGAGGTGTCATATGAAATGGTGAAAGTGCCTCTGCTCATCCTCTGTCGTTCCTTCCCCGAGTATTTTAAAGCCACTTTATGGGACCGTAAAAAAAAAAAAAGAAGGGCGATTTAACGGAGGGGGGACTGAGAGAAGGCAGGACTCCTCTGCTCTTTGTTTGCTGCAGAATAAGTCGAAAACAAGGCCTCTGACATGAACTCCGTGCACAATAAATCAACAGTGCATGCGGTGGAGGAGCAGAGCGGGCTGAGTGTAGACTACATGTGGAAAACAAAAAGGATGTTGGGTTTCACTACAGCTGGATGTTCACGCCAACTGAACAACAGCAACGAGCAAAGAGCCAGCCAGCCTCCCAGAACGTCACCCCGGCGTGAGAGTGCACACTTTTATTTATTTATTTATTTATTTTTAAACATGCTTTCCGACATGTTGGCTGACTGGATATCAGGCAGGCTCTGCTGCTGTCCATTAGGGCCAAGTGTGAAACTAACCGTGTCACGGCCACACGACATTTCTTCCCTTCCCCTTCACAATGCAGAGGGAAGTGAGGCGAGGGGGTGAGGGGGGTGGGGGTGCTGTGGCTTAAAGAGGAAACCTAACGAGTGTGTGTGTGTGTGTGTGTGTGTGTGTGTGTGTGTGTGTGTTCAAGCCCGTGGACAACATGTGATTACACAGTTACATGTTGGGCAATGGTAGGGGCTACAGTGTAACCATCGACTGGTGCAGTGAGGGGTTATTTGCATATAAAAGGGGGGGGGCTGCGGGGATCAAGATGAGATGTGAAGAGACAGTGAAATTGTGGGAAAAGGAAATAAAAACTAACCAAATCCATTTTTTTTGCACGTCTCTGAAAATCTGGATGACCGATGTGCACCACATCACCACAAAGCAGATTGTTTAGTCCTCGGTGGTTTGTACGTGTGTGTTTTATTTTTTATTTTTTGTTTTGTTTTTTTGGCGTCAACTTACTTGGTGGACGAAAACATCCAGAGGGGGGTCGACGGGGCTCCCTTCGCTGCTGGTCATTGAGATAAATCCAAAGCCCATCCGGACGTTGAACCATTTGCAGAAGCCCAATCCCGACAGGATCTGAGGTCGAGTCCGGCCCTCCTGCTCCGTGGACTTGACGGGGTCTTCTCCGCCACCTTTACCCGGCCCTCCTGAAACAAGGGGGCACACCACACAAGAAGCAAGTTAGGACATTTTTTTTCTTTCCCACAGCGACGGATACACCACCACGGGATGGCTACTTCCCTGCGCGCATGCCGGTTTATATCAGTTTAATGGGGCTCTGCTCCGTTAAAAAAAAAGAAGAAAAAGAAAAGAAAAGCGTGGGGGGAATCCCCTCCACTTGCAAATACAAGCTATGTGAAGTTCAGGGCCGGTAGAAATTTCCTATATTACTATTTTTTTCGCCACCACAGCAAGTGATGGGGGGGGGGGGGGGGGGCGCATGGTGCTGTGATCCGGTGTGCATCAAGGCAAACATCCCCACCACCACCACCACCGACTCCCAAAAAAAGTTGTTTGTTACTCCATGACAGATGATCGCCCCCGCTTCGTGCACAGGCATGCTCATGTCGGTGGAACTTGTGGAGGGTTTTTTTTTTCTCGTGCACCTACAGCCTGCCGCTACAGTGGAGTTGTACACTATAGGATCCAGAAGAAGAAGAAGAAGAGGAAGAAGGGGGAAAAAAAGGGCAGGTGTACACATGGTTCCTCGAGCTGTTACTTGTGGGCAGAACGAGCACATACGCTTTAACAATGCACATACATTCATGCAGCGAAACATGGTTACACATGGAGCTCGGCAGGGGCGGCTCATGTCGGCTTTTCTTTTTCTTTTTCTTTTTCTTTTTTTTGAAAAGGTTTGCTACAATAATCACGTTGCACCTTGCCCCCCCCCCCACACACACACACACACACACACACACACACACACACATATACACACACACACACACACCCTCCTCCTCCTCTCCTCTCCCCTCCCCTCCTTCTCTCTCCTCCCTCCCTCCCCCCCTCGCTCCCTCCTCGCGCGAGCAGACCGGGAGGAAAAGAAACTAAGAGCAGAAAATAGAAAATAATTGCAGAATAACCTTCGGCCATGTTTCCCCGCGGACCCTCTGCGCCCAAGTTGCAATACAGAAGCTTCCTCTGCGAAAACGGGCTGCGGTAGTCACCATTAATCCGACATCCTCGATCCCATCGGTCACCAGTTTAGCTCGCATGGTACGGCGTGCTTTCTGCCTTTTGATATTTTTGTCATGTCTCTCTCTCTTCCCTTCAATCCCTCTCCTCACTCTCACCACCTCTGTACTGCTCTCCCTCTCTCTCTTCGCTTTACTCTCTCTCTCTCCCTCTCGCTCTCTCTCTCTCTCTCTCCCTCTCTCTCTCTCTCTCCTTCGCTCTCATTCGCTCTCGAGCTGGCTGTGCCCGTTCCCGTAGTGAGAACACGTGACTTTGTCAATTACATGCTTTCTTGCTACTAATTTCTGCCCTGCGATTGCAGGGAAGAGAGGAATCGGACTCGCAACCGTCCGCAGCACACATCTCAGCTGTGTGATCGCAGAACACATCAACTGTGGACATGATAGACTATAACATATATATCATAGAGCACAATGTACAGCCTGTACTGTGTTTTGGTGGCAGTAAATACTGTAACATAAGGGGCTGGTTGCAGCTACATGAGCCTATTATGCACCGAGATTTAGATTAGATAGAATTCAATTCATTTTTAATGAACTATAACTGAAGCAGAAAAAAACTAAATAATGAGTGGAGCCATGAGGAACAAAAGCAAATGAAGTTAAATACACAAATGTGCAGCTTCCTCAGTGGCTGACCTACTGGTTTCTGGGCTTATTTTAAAAGATTCCCCACATTATAAGCTGTGGATGGATGGATACGCAGCTCTGTGTATTTTGTGCTTTCTAGAACTATATCAGACATGTGAGTAGTGTTATAACTGTGCATATTTGTGCAAACTAGTTACTTAGTTGGTTTGCAGCACACGTGTTTATGAGACACCAAAAATAGGAGCATAGCAGTGGTGAAACATCTGTCACACATCATCATAAAACATTACATTGCAGACAAAGAACTTAGTCTTTTGATCAATAAAAAATCGGGTGCAAAAATATTTCCTTTTTAAAACACAACTGGGGTGTTTGTTTGTTTGCTTGTTTGTTTGTTTGTTTGTTTGTTTGTTTGTTTGTTTAAATAATTATCCACCTATACATCCTCTCAGATGTGTTTTACCAAAATAAATTACTCAAAGATTTGGAGGATATGTTAACTTCCTCCATCAGATACAAAGTAAACTCACAAACAACCTTTGTCTCTTTCACTTCTTGTACCCCAGACTAACACCTGACCTCCAAACAATCCTGCTATTTAAAGGAGATTTTAAATTCCCGTTGAATAAATGTGTTACAGAAGCAACAACCACCTCTGCTGAGAGAACCAGAAGTCTGCTTTTACCTGACACAAGGAATAATTTGAAAGCAACAAAGAACAAAATGTAAATGATAATTTCTTTGCTCAACTCCATGCATGGACATGTTGTCTCTGAGCACATGTTGCTGTTAACATACGACCAGTTACCTCCCAGCATCATATTGGGCACTAGAGGAGAGCTTAACTCACGGCTTTGGAATGTGACTGGAAAACCCTGGAAAACCCAGAAAAACAAACCTGAGAAAACTGATGTGTTCAGTCACTGTGATCTTCAGTTGTCAGTGGGAAATCAATCCCAGTAGTTTTTATGATGCTCACAGTGATAAATGAAATGTATGGAGCCTGCACACTTGGGGGGGGGGGGGGCAAATCAGCTGAAAGCGTTTGTGCTTATTTCTCTTCTGCATTATAAAACAATAAACACACCGCAAATGAGAACTTGTGCAGAAATTGTTTTCCGGTGAGCGTGGACCAGATATTGTTAAGTTGCTAAGACAAAAAACTGCTACTAGGTTCAAAGAGTTACAACAATTTCTAAAACAGACCTCCTGTCTTCACTACCTGCATAACTTTGGTCAGTATACTGATGACTTTATTGAAAAAAAAAAAAGAAAAAAAAAAGTGTCTTCCACAAAAGGTTCAAACTCCACTACAACTCTTACAGCTTATTCAGGTTATATATGATGTCCACCAACATACACTCAAACACTCCAGAGAAGGATAGGTCGAACCACAAGCTGCAGTTACTCCAGACCACACAGCAGATCGCTAACAACAAGCCTGAAAAATAGTGCGTTCATTGAGACAGTTCCCATCTTATCTCAAGTCTACCCTTGTGGGGACATTTCTCAAGGGGGTTATTCCCGGGTATGAGGAGAAGAGGAAAAACACGTTGGAGGAATGAAACAACAACAAGCCCATCTCCACCCACCAGGGCTGCAGAGCCCACCCTCCGGAATTCACGAGCTTTACCCCTACCCCCAATCCATCCATCCCAGCCCCCGCGCAAAAGAAAAAAAAAAAAAAAAAAAAAAAAAAGGCCTGTTTTTGAAGATGCTTGTAGAGGAGGCCTCCGCAGTGGCCAGAGAATTACTGTTTGGGTCACAGGGTCGGATACCAGTGTCAGATGTTATCCACTCACTCATATCCTGACAGGACCTTTCTGATTAGGACAAGTCAGTGGAAATCACCGTAGTGCAGTTCACTGACATGTGTGCAAGCTAATGACAAGGAATAATGGAGATATGGGTGGCTTTGGATGTGCCTGTTTGTCACAGGAAACAACTGAGATAGCAAAACAGAGATCAGAGGAGATTTTAAGACACCTAAACTAAACATTGGATTGTTATTTAAAACTGTAAAAAACAAAAAAAAACAACTTTCATTTGTGAAGTGCAGGGAAAACATCTCAAACTCATGCCACTTACAAAGAGAGGCTGCTTAAAAAACCTTTATTAATTAATGTTTTACTGAAAAAAAAATGTCTTTTCTTTTACATTAGTTGTAACGCCAACTAGAAGTAACACCTCAGCCTCCTTCATATCTGCTTTTTAATTGTTTTCAAACTGGTTTTAGCTTCAGATCAGATTTTTTTCCCGCTGTTTGTGGAAACAAGCACAAAGACTAGAAAAGAGAAACTTTTCAGAAGATTTGCAAAAAAAAAAAAAAAAGAAAGTTAAGGCAAAAACTTCTTTTCATTGTTTTTCTTATAATCAACACCAACCAGATGTCACACACTTAAGCCACCATTTTATTTGCACTAATGCTACGAGATAAGATTGTTTTATTAAACCTGTTTCAACCTCACATCAATCTTTTTTCCACTGCTCTACATGTGGAGAATAGATTCGAATCATCACACACACAGACACACACACACACACACACAAAAACAACTTTTCATATGAAGTTTTCCAAATAAAGAACTCATATAACATAACAATGAATGGGACAGTTTTAAAGCTGAACTGAAAATGCAACCTCCTTTCTTTATGTTAGTTGTTGTTGTTTTATAACCAACACTAGCCTACTGTTTATTTTCCCTTTATATGCTACATGAGAGGATTGTTTTCAGACGTGTTTTAACTCTACTTTTAAAACAAGTCTACCAAAAAAGAATAAGTTTTCATAGGAAGTTTTGCAAAAAAAGTTGGGATATTTGTAACATAAATATGAATTTGTCTATTTTACATTAGTTGTTTTTCTTATAATCAACACCAACCAGAGCCATCCCAGCCAGAATTCAACCATCAAACCTTCTTATTTATCTTTATGACACTCAACAAGACCATTTTCAAACTTCAGCCATCGTTTATCCACTTTTCTATTTGTGAGGAAATTCTTTCAAAAAAGCAGGGTTTCAAGTTAAGTTAGCAAAATGTTAGGGAACTCATATTAGTGACTTGATTATGAATTGTCCTAATTTTAAGCTTATTTTGTTTGCATTCATTGTTCTTATAATTAACACCACTGGAAGCCATGCTTTAGCCTCCTTTTTATTTGCCCTCATGCTGTAGAATGAGGTTGTTTTCAAACGTCTTTTAAATTCAGATCAATCTTCTTTTTTTCCACTTTTATTTTTCTTTATAGAACATCAAACAAAAACAGCAGCTTTTCAAAGGAAGTCTTGCAAAAAGTTCATGAGCTCATAGTTGGGTTTAGAGGGATAGAGGTTTTTGATTTGCCCTTATGCTGCAGGATAAGATTGTTTTAATTTTGTT